TGGGAAAGGCTGAATGGGCAGCACCTTTTTGTCTCAAATTGAGTGAGCGGTGGTTCTAGGAGGAGGGTTACTTCATAAGTGGTTGCATCTTGGTTTTGGCAGATCCATGAAACTCCCTATAAACATGATGATAAATTCTATATTTGTAACTGCGGTTGAAAGGATACTGTGAGGTATTTCTTCAAACTTGGTATTTGCAACCAATTTGCAACTCTGCTTTTGCTCATTTTTTTTTTCCTGAACAAATACGCTGCAATTGCTCACCGTCATGCAAACATATARCACTTCCACCTGATGGTTTAATTAATTCCCCAGTGCAACATGTCCTGCAGGAGCAGAGGGCACCGGGAGTTACCCCGTGGTCTTTGCGTGTGCAGCTCAGAGCGTGAAGAGCTGGGGTCTGACCAGCCATGCTACGTTGATCAGCACAGCGTTAAATACCCTTGGAGCTGCTCTTGTGGTGCCTGATTGAAGTTATCCCGGGAGGCAAAGGATTTATAGGGCTGGATCAACCCAAACATTTCCACATTTATTCTTGTTTCGTCAAATTGTCTGCTTTGCTTTGACAAGCCGGTGACCCTCTGCTTGGCGGTGGGCGCGGATGGTGGTAACCCCGAGGTTCTTGCAGTGACAACGTGAAGCATTTACAGAGGTAGAGTGGTCAGGACCAACCCGAGAGGGCTGTGACAGACATGGCCATCTCTTCACGAAGTTACTTTCGCCTAGGACACGGCACTGGCTTTTCTAATCATCACAGTTCTTGCCTGAAATCTTCCTGCAAATGAGTTGCTTCCCAGTTAGCCTAATAACATCCTCTGTGTGGTTATATTTCTGAGCTGCTAGAAACAATTCTCCTTCAATTATTATGAACTATATTTTGATGAGCTCTGTGTGAAGCCCTTTGCAACACAAATGTTTGTGGAAGAGAGAATTTAGGATCGAGTATTTTGAGTCAACCCTAATTGATTAGAACTGAATAGAAATGAGGCCGGCTGTTTCAACATGTTTCTAATACTTGATGTTTAGCATCTATTCCACAGATGTGAATCGGAGGAATGTATGACTGGAAGGGACTTCATGAAGCTCCATGGTTCATTGCCCTCACCAAAGCAGCATCATGTACATCAAACAGCTCCTTCCAGATGTGTCTAATCTGCTCTTAAACCTCTAGAGYCATTACAGAAACTGCTTGAGAGCTTGTTTCAGCATATTACTACCTCTCTAGTTATTCCTAATATGTAATAAGTATCTCTCTTGTTGCAAATTAGGCTGATAAGCCTGAAAGCAGTTGATCACCATTTTCTTTCCTGTAACTATACAAGGCACAGGAACTGCAGGAAGACTTATTCCGAGCCTTTTTTAATAGCATGTGAGCAGACTTCTTAAACCTTTTCTTATTAACCATGTTTCCAAGCCTGTTATCTCTGCTCTCTTCCCACTCTTCCTTGTGTACGTTCCTCTTAAACTGTGGCTCGTCACGATGAACACAGAATTCCAGCTGAATGTGATTCCTGTAGTGTTCCTTGTCGATATGGTGTGAAGGGCAGGACTAAAGTGTCTCGCTGTAGTGCTGTGACAGATGTTGTTCTGGGAGTGTGATTTGCTCAGCCGACATGACAGCTAATGGACTCACATGGTCTGCAGAACTTTTTTCTGCTACTCGGTCGCTTTTCTGTTCTGGAAGAAAAAAATATTTTCTTCCTCTCCTTCTCCAGTGCCTGAAGATGAGAGACGGTTCCATTGTGTTCCCTCTACTGACCCTGGCATTTMTTTAATCTGGTACTTAATTCAGTCTGCAGGCTAAATTAGGAGGAGAAAGGGTAGAACTAATTGCCAAGGAGGGAGGGGAGCGATTATTCAAATAGGCACCTCATTTCTCTATCACAGCAGATACTGTAGTGGTTGACTCTGAGCCAAAAACATGGAGACCATCAATTCCATCCTCTTTAAAGGTCTGTCCTACTACTAGATACTGACCACTAGAAATCTAGTCTCTGCCTTCAAAGAAATCTCTTCTATACTGCTGAATATCTGAACTCCATTTAGCAAACTGACTTTCAAAGCGTTTCAAAAACTATGATCAAAGTAAGATGTGGTTCTTTCTGGCATTTCTGTGAAAGATACCCCGTGTGCCGTGTCTTCAGGCAACCTCATGTCACATTGTGGGTAGATAATTTTACCTCATTGCTTGTCAGGTCACTCGCTCTTACCAGAGTCACTTGCAAGGGAACTGCTGTCCCTTGAGCTCTAGTTTTGCCTGTCTGATCTGTATCTTTGAATGAGTGGCCTTCTAGTTAACTGCAAACCCTATATGTTATTACTGTCTGCTATCAGTATTACAACATTTAAATAAAGACTCTTTTGAATAGCAGCTTTTCTCTTCTGTTTATTCCACGTTTCACGTTATTTTGTAATGAAGTAGGTTTATAAGGTTTCACTACTGTGGGCAGGAGCTGATGGTGATCAGACAGATGAGTCTGTGGTAGAAATCGGCGTCTATAGATGTGAGTGATGAGTCTGCTGTGTGAATGAAGTAACCCTGCGTGAAGGACACCCGAAGAGAGCTGTCTGCAGGCCTCCCTTCGCATCCCTTCTGCTCTCCTGGCTGCTCCAGCGATGCTGACCTTCACCCCAGGACTTGGCTGCACACTGTCCTTCCCTGGCTAAGGACAGATGTGGCCAGGGATGTGCAACAGGTTTTGTAACTAGCCAACAAAATGATGCTGTCCCAGGCAAGGTGGGATAGCAGTTTGAAGACTAACACACAAAAATGGTACAAATACCCCAGGGCATTTCTGGACAGACTGATTTTTATGAGATACTTAACTCCATGSTAGTTTAGGTGAAGAATTTCCAAGCAGCGTGCAGTTGATCTCCGGTGCGAGCACTGGTGCTCCTCGCAGCAGCCATACAGCAATGACGCTCACAAATGTGTGARGAATCTGAAATGGGTGTTTTTGTCCTGCCAGAAGTTAAATGCTCAACACAACCTCATCGGCAAAGTCTGTCTGTGCTGTCTYAGTTGGTATCATACGTCCCTTAAAGAAGGAATGAAATAAGTGCATCAGTCTTGGTACAGACCCAGTGTCTGGTGTCAGATGGTAGTGGGGGAGCGCTTGGGGGTCATCTGCCTGTGCTTGTTTGGGTATTTTGAAACAAAAACAGAGTTGTTGCTGGAAAATCCCTGGCCAGATTCATGTTTCTGGAGGGGGGKGTGTGGATACGAGCGTATCGCATTCCCTATCTTGACCTTTTGGTAGACTAATGATCCTTTCCTGCTACCAGGTTGTCATTTAGATAGTGAGYGTTTGGGGATTACCGGTAGCTGCAACAGTAATTGTACCAAGTGTTGGTGTGTGCAGGGCACACAGCCTTTTTGCATCCAGATTCATAACCTAAAATAATGCATTGAGAGAGACAAATATCTATGTTTGCAAGTCTAAAACATTCTGGGAGTTTCCAGACAAAGTTGAGCATTAACTATTCTAAATGACCCAGTTCTAGAAACTTTGACAAAGCTGGTATTAGAGTTTACCAAAGAAATACTTGTTGCATTAGAACTTAAGCAGATGTGACTATTTTTGGTAAAATTTTGCACATCTGCAGAGGCATTGTAGTGTGGTCAAGAAAGAATCTTGACAAACTAATTCCTTTTTGAATGTTCTGTATCTTGTAAGAATTCTCATCACTCAAAGCGTATAAAGACTTAACAATAAGTTTACTAAAGCAASTCAAAATTTGGTGAAATGCTTCATTACTTACAGCTTTATGTGAAAGTACCTTCAACCTTAAGAGATCCTACTGTAATTGTACAAGAGCCTTATGTATGTGTAGGGTTATCTGAAGAGCAAGAGAGAATTTTGCTCCCAATTTTCTTGTTGCTGCTTAATGCAAGGGTAGAAGGTACCCTAAAAGCCAAGAAACTTCTGTGTTTCCTGCCATGGAGACGAACAGAAGCTGCTCCAAAACCATCTTCATGTAACAGGGGATCCCTGCGGAGGATCTTGGGGAAAGACTGGACTTGCAGCTGGTTGAGTCACCAATGCAATTAAGCAGTAAATGAGACTGCGATATAAATTTTCCTTTCACCTCTGTAGACAGATTTAAAGACAATTAGACATTCCAGTTTTCTGTACTCTTAACACCAGCTAATAGAACTATGGATCTCTATGTAGTCTCATTTTTTCTCACTTCAGCAGTTAAAATCGCACCCATGTTCTACATCTGGAGGTTGCAGGCACCTGGAATTTCTTCCCGCATAAAGAAAAGCAGCGGTGAAGCACAACTGAGTCTGACACAGGCTGCTGTAATGCACTGAATTTCTGAAGTCGTTCTCACCATCCCGTGTGTTGGGGCTGTAGTTCTAGCACGAGTCCCAATGTCTGTTTAAGGTGGCTGTTTGGGAGCACGGCCGCATCGCGGGTCTGGCCTGCGCGATGCTCAGTGATGGTGTGAGGACACCTACTGGGCACCCTCTTTCTTTCATGCCTGGTTTTATACTCGAGGTAGTTTATACCTGGGTTTTTAGACTCTTTCCTGATGCGGCTACAGGAAGCACCAATATTAAGAATAAAATATSGAGCAGAGACATGAATGAATCAATAGGAGTGTGTGAAAGGCTGAATTTGAGATTTCTGCCTTGACCAGTGCTGCCTCTTGGTCCATTTGGCACTTTGTTTCCATTCGACTGTTGGACAATTATCTAGTACCTTGTCTAGGAGTCTCAGAACTTTCCTAGTGTAAGTTACACTGGGGTTAGTGCTAATACTTCATTTAACTTTATATACGGGCATGGTTGTTACAGCTCCTTCAGCTTCCAGGTAGGTTAATAAAGTGTCCTTGTCCCTATTTTTTGAGCAATCATCTCCCTAAAGCCGGACAGGACGATGGCAATTTCAGGATTGCTGCTGCAGTAATTATGAAGTGGAAGGCCTTAAATTGCATTTGATAACTAAGGACTGTGYGTGAAACATGAAGTGACTTTGTCTTCCTTGTTACAGATCCATAACATGGTGGCAGTGCTGGAAGTGATCTCCAGCCTGGAGAAATACCCCATTACCAAAGAGGCACTTGAGGTATGTTGCTCTCTAAGCATCACTTTGGGTGGTTTTTTTTTTAGGGATATAAAAGATTCTTTTTGCCTATATATATTTTCCATGAGTGCTTTTCTTGAAACTGTGTTAATTGCAAGCAATTCACAATTGAGGGAGTATTTCATCCCCCTCATGCTTCCTCTGACATTTGGTGTATGCAGTGATTTTTTCTGGATTCTGATCAGTGTTCTGGGCAGCCCAAGGTCTATTTGTATAAAGCACAAAATCAATCCTTGCTCACTGCTGATTAATTCTAGTGCATTGGGCAAACTCACTGTGCTGCCTGAAGGCTGGCTGCTTCCTCAGCAGCTTGATGATGGAGTAAAGAGTCTGAAATAGGAGGAATATAGTTACGYAGTCCATGAAACTACTCTTAAACTCAGTTAAGGCTATTTCAGTGCCTGATCTAACTCATGCAGAGCCAAAAAGAAGGTTTTGTGTTTAAATTATAAAAATATTTCTAATCTTCATGTTGAAATTTGTGGTGAAAGTTGCCTTATGTACAGCTTTTTATAACATGCAAGTAATTGTCTGCATTGTGATATGTGATGAGATGCAGGGTCTGAGCAACAGAGCCGCGGATGCAGCTCAGCATTCTCCCTGCTGCATGGGAGAGGGAACGAATCTCCCACCAGCTCTGAGCTTCAGGTGTGCAGTATTACAGAAAGTGGGGGTTTGAGCCAGCACCTTTTGTGTTTCACCTTTTGTATTCAGATGGAACCCAAGGTTTGGAAGCACGTCGCTTCCAGGACTGGGCGGCTGTTTCATAAGTGCCAGCATAATACTAAGATGTTTTTTCCACCAAGAAAAGAAAGACGCTGAAGGAGAAGCTGAAACCTGTGTAGATTTTTATCAGCTCCAGCTGTATTTCAGCATACGTATCAGAACATGTTGCATCTCTTTCAGTCCAGGCCATGTCTTCCTTTGAAGTGCTTTTCTTTAATTAAACTGACTTGTGGAACAGTATTTTTTTTTTTCCAAGTATGCATTGGGAACAATCAAACACTTCTCTTGCTTTTGCTTATTGACTCAAGTTGGGACATCCTAGGAATGCTCATTTAAATTGCTGTTTCATCTCCTTTCAAGATACTAGGGAGTGAGGTAGAGGAGGGAGAGGAAGAAGAGAGGATGTCGTCACACCGGGGCCAGCTGGATTTGTGAAATCAAAATTTGTTAACCTGTTACTGTACCAGGCTAAGATACTCAAATTTCTTCTCGTGCCTCTTTCTGCAGGTCTGTCATTGTGGTGAACACTTTTCTTCCTCATGTATGACACACTTTCCTAGAGTCTGAGCTTGCACCTTTGTTTTCAAGATTGTTCACGTTAAAACAACTTCTTTTCTGATATCTTAGTGCTTTAGGCAGGGTGATTCAAAGGTTACAGTGGGTGTTGGACCAACTGGAGGAATTGTTCCCCAAGAGATTAATTTAGCTCATAAATCTTTATTGGTTGATACTAGGTATTTATTAGGGTAAGCATCAAAAAGCAGATTTTTTTTCTTAAAATTGAAGTCAGAACTGCGTTTAGAATGATATGTGTTTGTAAACCAACTTTTATGTCTTATAGGAAACAAGGCTTGGGAGGCTTATCAATGAGGTGAGGAAGAAGACATCCAATGAGGAACTTGCCAAGCGTGCCAAGAAGTTGTTGCGGAATTGGCAGAAGTTGATAGAACCTGTAACTCAGAATGAGCCGGTGCCAAGAGGGTTGCCGAATCCACCAGGATCAGCAAATGGCGGTGCCCACAACTGCAAACCAGAAGCACCGCTTCCTGCCATGGCTGGATCAAAGCCAATCAGTGAATTGAAGAGCAGGAATGATATACAGAAACTAAACTCTCCAAAAACAGAGAAGTTGGGAAATCGGAAAAGGAAAGGTGAACATAGGGATGGGCATCAGGGCCCTCCTGTCCCCAAGGTCTCCAAAGCTAGTCATGAAGTATTACAAAACTCTTCTCCTCCTCCAACGAATGGGATTGGGGGTAGTCCTGAAAATTTCCCCAGCCCTGTAGATGTAAACCTACACGCAGGGCCTGAAAGCAGCAGGACAGACCTCAGTGAAAATGATAAACACAGTAAGATCCCCGTAAATGCTGTAAAACCTCACACCAGTTCTCCAGGACTTGTAAAACCATCAAGCACTTCCTCGTTACTAAAGACTGCGGTGCTTCAGCAGCATGAGAAATCAGAAGAAGCCCCAGGACCGCACCAGCCTAAGAGTCCTCGCTGTTCCTCGTTTAGCCCTCGAAACGTTAGGCACGATACTTTTGCTCGGCAGCATACTACGTACTCACCAAAGGATTCGATGCCTAGTCCATCTCAAAGGTCTCAGTGCTTGGATACTGCACAGGTGCCATCGCCGCCACCATCCTTGATGCAACCATCAACACCTCCAATGCCAGCGAAAAGACTGGAGTTCGCTCAGCAATCAGTACCCGAGGTGTCTCAGCACTGGCAGGAGCAGCAGGTCCCTTCTGAGAGCCAGCACCGGCACCCGGCAGGGCCGCTTCCACCGCACGCGTCTCCCAGCTGCAAAGCCAGCACCCATTCCGGGGAATCTCTCACGCCRCACGTTGGCTTCTCGCAGGACGCTTCGAAAATGGACAGTGATGATGCTGCTTCGGGTTCCGATAGTAAAAAGAAGAAAAGGTACCGACCTAGAGACTACACAGTCAACTTGGATGGGCACGTCACGGAAGGGGGGGTGAAACCTGTGAGATTAAAAGAGAGGAAACTTACTTTTGATCCCATGACAGGACAGATAAAGCCTTTGACACAGAAAGATCCTTTGCAGGTAGAAATTCCTGCACTTACTGAACAGCACAGGACAGAAACGGAAAAGCAGGAGCAAAAACCCAACCTGCAAAGCCCTTTTGAACAAACGAACTGGAAAGAATTATCCAGAAATGAAATAATTCAGTCATATTTAAACAGGCAGAGTAGCTTGCTGTCTTCATCAGGAGTACAGACTCCAGGAGCTCACTACTTCATGTCTGAATATTTAAAGCAGGAGGAAAGCACTAGAAAAGAGGCTAGAAAGACTCATGTTCTAGCTCCTAACAGCAAACCTACAGACTTGCCTGGGGTCACAAGAGAGGTCACAAGTGATGATCTCGACAGAATACGTGAACATAACTGGCCAGGCGTGAACGGTTGTTACGACACACAGGGTAACTGGTATGATTGGACACAGTGCATATCTTTAGATCCACACGGGGACGATGGTAGATTGAACATCCTGCCTTATGTCTGCCTAGACTGAGTACAGTTTTGCTAAAATGCTTTTACATCTGCAATTAGCAAAAATGGCAGACACTTTGCCACTTAACCATGGAGAAAGCCTCCTGTCCTGGACAAACAGGCCCAATGAGCAGAGGGTGTGAGGGAGCTGGTTGTTTACAGCTCTTTCCTTTAAATTCTCCTTTTGTGAAATGCTGCTACCAGTTTACTAACAATTGCAAAGGAAGGCATACGAAGGTTGATAAATTGAGTTCAAAACTCTATAGCGAGCCAGCTATAAAAAAGTGTTAGTCCCCAAGAAGTGAAGATGATTTCCAGCACTTTCTGAATGCCGGAATCTTACTACAGGCAGGTACAGAGAAAAATGTGGAAGTTACCTTAACAAAATATGCATCTATTTATTTGACTTGATTTGGGTTTTTATTTGGCAGTGAGATATTTGAGAGACAATGTGCAAAAACTGTAGTTTTATTTGTATCACATCTCTGAACATGATTGCGTTTTTAGTCATGTGGTACGGAGATTGGGTTTTAAACAGCAGATGTTGCACTGCAGGCYGGGGAACCGGCTTCAGCTCAACATTCCATAGGCATCCACATATTTTAGTCTGGTTTCAGTTTAAATCCAGTCTCTGAGAAATGCTGCAAAAACTAGATGTTTAAAGATATTTTTGATCCCACCACTACCAGCCAAATATTTTTCCTCCTTTTCCCTTCCTGCAATCTTCTAGGAAAAAAAGAAAAAAAAAGAAAAAAAAATCACCTTTTCTAGAAACTAAATGTAATGAGGGTGCTACAAGTTTGTAATTGTACTGTGAGAGGGAAAAAGGAAGCCTGTTTGTATGCTGGAAATATACTTGTTACCATTCCTTTAGATATTGTTTGCCTTATGGATATCCATCATAAACGCAATTTGCAAAAACAAAGAGCCTTAGTGAATGTACAGTAACTAGACTTCTGTGTTCTTGGGATGCAGAAGGGAGCAACTTTGCTATTTGGTCCTTTAAGTGGACACATTGTGATATAAATGTGGAAATAAAAAAAAATTTGCACAAAACAGTTTGTGAATTATTTATACTTATCTGGTTTATTTTTTAAAGTTGGGTCAGTCCAGACAAACTAAGTGATCACCGGCCACTGTGGCGAAGCTCAATGCCCTCTGATCCTTCCTGGCGCAGCTGCCCATTATGGCAGGCAAGATGTCTTCCAAGGATGCGGTGGTATTTGGTCACACAGCCTGGAGATATATATAAATATATATATATTTATTTTAAATTAGGCTCTGGTTGCATCCAGAGTTTGGAGACTGATAACCCAATTACTGTTAATGTACCTCAAAGATCATAGCTCACCTTTCCTTATCTCTAATTTTGTATAATATTGTTTTTAATTGTTCAGCATCTTATGAAGTGGCCTGATTCAGCATAAAAGGCTGAATTTCTCTTAAGTATAACTGCTTTAACATTTGGGACGAGTGGTTTTCTACAGTCTCTGCTAGTGGGCTTCTGTCTGAGGGAAAGGGAGAAGAGACAAAACAGCAAAAAAGCTGCTAATTTAAGTAACATTAACTCTGTTGATCCGTTTGGGCTGGATCTTGCCTTGACAAAAGCTCTACTGCCTTTGAGAGCAGAGTTGAGCTCTTAAGTATCAAACTGTGACTTAAGAAGGGTGTCCCTTGCCTGGTATACATTAGGCTGGTTCTTTCTATGGAATACAAGTGTTAAGGTACGGTTTATTTTTAAGTCTTTCCTGTTTAGGCCTGTTGTTCTTGTGATCTGACTGGTACTGAAATGTATTGGGTGTTTACATCTTGCTGATGTCTGTTTGCTTCCATTTCTGAATTCTGAGGTCTTAGAATGAAATTTCATAACCAGAAAAAGGAGTTACCCAAACTATTTCCAAGTATATTTTCAGTTTACTTCCATTTTATCCTTCTGCAGTTTATGAGGTCAAGCAGTGTGTGTTAGAGCTGGGAAAAGTCAGTGTATTTACAGTTCAGGAAGGCAAAACTGAAGCTAGAGGGCTAAAAACCTGGGAATGCTTGATATTTTGCTTGGTTTGTGTAACAGTGCTGCATATTAAGGGACTCTTATTCCACCCTTACTCTCAGTGCTGCTTTGTTGCCCTTCTTACATTTTTTCCAAATGGTCTTTGCCTAAAAGCAGGGTTGTGCTGTTCTGAGGCCTTGGAACGTAGGGCAAAATTAAGGAAAAGTCTTGCGTTCCATCTAATGTATTAACCAGCCTTTTCTCCACTGCTTAGATCTCTGCTGCAAGTCACAGTCCGTAAGGGCTGTAAGGAGGGAGGTGCTGCCCACAGTTCCTCACTGCCTTCCAGTGACCAGAGCGCAGCAAAGTGACCCTGGGCTGCTGCTCGCCCTGCTGAGAGGGTGCTAAGTCTGGGTACAGCCCTTGCCCTGGTGGTACCAAATCACCAGGGGGAACTCGCTCAGGATGCAGGCTTTAAATCTTGTTACCTACCTAGTGTGTTTCTGCTGTAAGGGTCAACTCACTTGGATGCGATTCATGGTGAGACAAGGCTTTGACAATCTTGATGTCAGCATGTTAGTTATAACCAGTTCTGTGAGCTCCGACAAATGTGAATCAGTTTAAAAGGTGATTTTTCTGTCAATTTTGTAAACAAGTTCCAATGAAGTTTACGTGGTGCACGTGTGTATTGTCTGTGTTACTCATTTTTGCATGAACTTAAGTTTGTCTGCTACTTGATTTCTCCTGCTTTACGAAATTTGCTATTCTAACCCTAAAAAATCTTAATGTAGTGCCATCTCTTTCCAATTATTGACATAAAAATGGCTCATCTGTGAATCTTCGGGGAATGGCCATGGCCTCAAATGCATGTTTTCCATAGGTGCTTTAACAGGATATAGAAATGCCCGCTGAAGGAGCGCGTGGATGACATAGACCGTAGAACCCCCTCCTTCTCCTTGCCAGGTACTCACCCACCTTTTAATCTACCTAGTGCTACATGTTTCTYGAGCTCGGTTTCAAAGGTTGGGAACGAGCGTTGCTCTGCGCGCCCGACCTTTGCTCGGTCGCTGTGGTGACTGCGGTTCTGGCTTCGGGAGACGCTCTCCGGCCTCCCTTCCGCTCAGYGGGGCCTGGGAGCTCCAGGGGGGGCCTAGCAAACACCTCGGGTGCCTCCTGGGCTCCATTAGCCCCTCTTTTTACCTCAGCCCCCGCGCTCCCCGAGGGGGAGTGCAGCCGCGCTCCCCGAGGGGCGCGAGGGGTGGCAGCACCCCCCGGAGGGGGCTAAAGGCTGCGGTTTAACGAATAACGGGTTATTTCGAGGCGGGAAGGGGCGGCGGGGCCGGCGCCTCCTCCCGCCTCAGCGCGGGGCGCGCGGCGCTCAACGGCCGCCTCAGCGCCAACGGCCGCGGCGCGCAGCGGAAGTGACGCGCGGGCAGCGCTG